TATTTGAGGGCTTTTTCTATTTAATCCTCCCCTAGCCCCTCCTTTAAAAAGGAGGGGGAACTAAGCGGAAGTTTCTTATTTACCAGTTTTTTCTTTAATAAACTGGCGTACCATTTTCACTTTTTCTTTGACTGGCTTTGGCAGTTTTGGTGGAATCATCTTCGCCACCTGGTTAAACCAGACCAGCAAACCGAAGTCACCTTCCATTTTGATGGTGCCACTTTGCATGCCGGTCATAAATGCGGTCGGATCGCCTTTAATTAAAGTCTTTACGCCCTGCTCACTATCAGCAAACTGCAAAACAAAATCTGCTTTTTCAGCATCACCAGAAACGGTCTCGATATGGTCGTTATTCACAATGATCTGACGTGCCATACCCTTATCCGTACCTATCTGGATGCGGAATTGACGCCCATGTACCAGTTCGATGAATTTTGGGCTGGTACGTGCCAACTGCTTCATACGTAATGCTAAACCTGCGACCAGTAAGTCCAGCGGATCTGTACTTACATCAACAAGAGGAAGTTTTAACACAGGAATGGAGGACAGTTTCATGAAGGATGCCTATTCTAATTGTACGAAAATTGACAAATATCCTAGCATAGTTCCGGGTTAGGTGGATGCAGCAGTTTGTATCATATTTCTAAACGAAAAATGCACCCGCAGGTGCATTATTTCACTGATATTAGAGAACTTAACGGCTAGAAAGCTGCTGCTGGTCATCTTCATAGACTGGTGTGTGTTCGATATAGCGACGTTTTGCCAAAGCACGCTCGGCACGACGATCTTCACGCAATAACAGGCAGGTCACCACCAGCATGACCGCAGTTAATGCGCTCAGATAACTATACGTCATTGGCAGCTCAAACCAGGTCTGAGTCCCTATACGAATCACCTCGATCAGGCCCCAAACCAGCATCCCGGCAGCCATAAAGCTTAACCAGCGACGATAAGGCGAGAAGAATACAGCAAGCACAGCTACAGCGACTAAACTGAAGCCCACAATCGTTGCTAAATTCGCTGTTACCATATAACCCCCTCCATCCAGATAGATAGTTT